TGTAGAATGTCTCTGAATTTGAGTTTGTGTGATGGTTTGTTTTCTCCTTGATTGAAGTTACACCTTTTTCAACACATTGTGTCAGGGGTCACAACATGATTTCAACGTTTTTTTATTGGTAATTATGACCTTGATTACTTACAGTCAAGTGATATCTGCCAGGTGTCCCTACAGTAAAATGACTTTTTTCTCTTTGTAATTAATAGATATTTTGAGGGAGATACTTTGAGGCTATGCAAAGGTCTTATTTCTCCTTAAACGTTGAAGCTAATGTTAGGATTCATTTGTGGATCCTGTTTGCAACAATTGTGTGGCTTTCCTTTTTGTTTAATTAAAAAATTATCTTACTTCATTTTAATTTTTTTAAGTAGGCTTCATGCCCAGCATGGAGCCCAATGTGGGGCTTGAACTCATGACCCAGCGGTCAAGATCCGAGATGAGATGAAGAGTTAGAGGCTGAACCAACTGAGTCACCCAGGTGTGCCACCAATTTTAAAGATGAATCTAAATTTCTCTTACCAGTTATTAGAAGTTCTGCCTTTCACAAATGTTTCCAAACTTTTCTTTTGATTTTTTGATATCCTTTGCCCAAAAGATCATTGTCTCTTGTAATGAGTCTTCCAGGTTTAGTCACTGAAAGAACTGGCATTTCCTTTGATTTCCTCTGAACTTATCTTCTCAGCTTGAAAGAGGATCCTTTTCTTCCTGAAGACTTAAAACTCAGTATAGAGGCATTTTGCTTTCTTATATTTTAAAATGTTACATATATATAACCCCATCATCACTGTCGTCACTTTTAGCACGCAAAATGCTATTCTCTTTCACTATAACTGATAACGAATCTTGATCTACTTTTGTCGCTGTCAGTGAGCCCTCTCTGGATCTGCGAAAATTCTGGCACCTAAATCCGGAGGATTTAGGGCTGGTATTGCATAGGGACTCTGGTCACACCACAGTCTCACAGGACGATGTTGTAACATACAAGTACTAGTAAAATAAATACCTGTCCTGCTTTACAAGCTCACCAGATAAACTTGTTTGGCCCAGACTGACCAGATTTTAACAAATTTTTAAAACTATTTTCAACTATCCTTTGTTTGTAGAGACATCCTTTGGTATGCAGATAACAGGTACTAGGGTTGGGGATTATTAACCATGACACTGGCTTGGCACCCAGCTTGCTGCTCAGTGTGGCTACAGCAGCACGTGACTATGCTTTCTTGCCTTTCTTTTTAATTAATAAAATAGAGTTTGAGGTGCTTGGAATGCTTCACAAAAAACACGGCACAGCCCTTTGGCTTGCTTGCCCCACGGGAATGCCCTTTAAAAATAATATCCCAATTAGGGCACCTGGGTGGCTCACTTGGTGGAGCGTTCGACTTTAGCTCAGGTCACAATCTCACGGCTGTGGGTTTGAGCCCTGGGTTGGGCTCTGTGCTGACAGCTCGGAGCCTGGAGCCTGCTTCGGATTCTGTGTCTCCCTCTCTTTCTGCCCCTCCCCTGCTTGCACTCTGTCTCTCAAGAAATGAGTAAAAATGTTAAAAAATTAAAAAAAAATCCCAATTCACAAAATTGTGTCTTGATAGCATAAAAAAATGCCCCAATTATTTGCTAGAAGTGACATGCAGCTTTCTATTTTTTAAAACCTGAGCCTGGGGCGCCTGGGTGGCTCTGTCGGTTGAGCGTCTGACTTCGGCTCAGGTCATGATCTCACGGTCCGTGAGTTCGAGCCCCGCATCAGGCTCTGTGCTGACAGCTCAGAGCCTGGAGCCTGCTTCGGATTCTGTGTGTCCCTCTCTCTCTGACTCTCCCCCGTTCATGCTCTGTCTCTCTCTGTCTCAAAAATAAATAAACATTAAAAAAAAATTAAAAAAAGAAAACCTGAGCCTGAAATTTTCTGTTGCCTTCCTGAAACCTATGCTTCTACCCCCAAAATAGGAAAGTACAAAATGTTTCCTCTTTTCAGTCATGTCTTCCCATTAATCTTCATTTTTCCTTTTCTTCTTTTTTTTCTTTTGTTAAATGCGTATTTATTTTTGAGAGAGACAGAGTGCAAGCCGGGGAGGGGCAGAGAGAGAGGGAGACACAGAATCGGAAGCAGGCTACAGGCGCTAGCCATCAGCACAGAGCCTGACGCGGGGGTCGAACTCAACAACCGTGAGATCATGTCCTGAGCTGAAGTCGGACGCTTACCTGATCGAGCCCCCCAGGCGCCCCAATCTTTGTTTTTTCATTTCCTTTTCTCTTCTCCCTTATTTCATCCAGTAGCCGCCATATGTAGCAGAAAGAACACGGGTGCTGCAGCCAGACAGACCTGGGTTTGAATCTCAATCTGCCACTGGCCAGCTGTGTGACTCTGGATGGGAGTAACATCTCTGAGTCTCTGAACTCTAACCTGTAAAGGGAGATGAGAATATGTGTTTTGGCTGCCTGCCTGGAGCAAATAATAGTCCACGTACTGTAATGGTAGGTATTCCTGGATGCGCACCCTCGGCCAAAACCACTCCTAGGAAAGGAGTATTTCTCTAAATACGTGAACAATGTTCTTAGACAGATCTGGCTGAAGCATCCCTTGTCCCTGGGACTGAGTCCTGTCTTCTCTCTTCTGGAAACGTGAGGGAAGAAACGCACATAGGCATGGCCGCCCAAGCCCTGCGGCTGCCAACAGGCCTGCTTGTCAAACACCCACACGTGCAGTGAATCCTGCCTCATTCTCCCAGGACCACTCACCTCCACCTCGTGCTATTTCCATCACTACCTTCACCCGAGGAGGTAAAATGCCCCTTTTGGAAATGTCCATTTTACAGTTTCATTAACAATTCAGATTTGAGAGCACAGTTATAAATTCTAACTAATTTGCATCTGTATTTAGAGTTCTCTATTTGAACCTCTTCCTAGATCAATCCTGAATACAAGGAAGCTCTGAGGGCTGGAGCAGGGGCTCCGGGTGGGCTTGTTGAATGGAGTAACGACCAAAGGGCCGGAGTCTCCGGGTAGGGACCCAGGAAGGATGGTGTTTGCCACCTGCTCTCTGTCTCCTCCAGGCCCGGGAGGCTCTTCTCTCTTCATTCTCTTAACAGTATTCTTTCGGTGAAGTCTGAAGGTTTTTTCAAAATGCAGAATGTCATTTGTGTCCCTGTGTTCACAGAGCTTGAAGTCACAGTGTCCTCACACAGTGTCCTCACAGTGTCCCCACTCACATGTGCATGTCTGCGCTGGGGACAACAAAGCCACTGGGAGAGCAGGAAGGGGGGGTGACCTTCTGGTTTCTCATTGTTGCTTCCAGATCACTGTTTCTTAACCTTGTCTGCTCATTACAATTCTTTTGGGGAGATTTAAAAAAATGGAAATGCCCAAACCGCACCTTGGTGTTAAAGTTTCCCGTGTAAGTTCAACGTGCAGCTAAGGTTATGTTCTAGACCCTTGTTTTCTAGGTGGGGACCACGGACCAGACACATGTGACAAAAACCCCCCTTTCCTGCCCGCTGGCTGAGCTCTCCTCCCACTCCCACCAAGGCCCCCTTCACTTTACGTGGATATTTGAGCAAACGTCACCTTCTCCGAGACCTTCTCTGGCTACCCTACCTGTTGTCTGAAATCGCCCTGCCAGCACTGTGCCCCTTACTGCGCTCTGGTTTTCATTCAGCACGCTTTATAACTCCGCTGACATATTCTTATGTTGAAAATCTGTATTCCCTGCTAAAATGTAAATTCCATGAGACAAGAAAATAATTACTTTTGTTTTTTATTGTGTTCCTAATATCTGGAGCAGCACCTAGCACATAGTAGGGGCTTGATAAAGGGAACGGTTGAATATTTTCCCCTACGTTCGTTATGTTGATTTGCCTCTGGATCCCCGCTTTAATTCCTAAGGCCACCGATGCGAATGGCCACCTCTAACTGTCAGGACCTCTCTATCCACAAGAGAGGTACGTCCACACAAAGAAGTACAGTCAGGGAGGCACATAATTTATACCAGCGGTAGTAGAGAGGATTCTTAGGAAGCACTCGAGGAAGTCAGCCTCAGCAGTGTTTGAGGGGACTCTGGTGGATGGCAGTGGGACAGGAAAGGCATGCTGAGCCCAGGGTGCGGTGCTGGCTGGGGGAACCCCTTTCCCTGAGGGAAAGGTGGCAAACGGGCCGCCAGCTGGGCAGGAGGCCTCAGGGGGCGGAACCTTGTGCACATTCTCTCCAGGGGCCAAGGGCAAAGTTCTGAGGACCTGTAAGACAGGCCTGGTAAGAGAGATTTTTACTCTGGCCATCTCACCATGCTCTACAAATGCCATGCTGTCAGCCTTACTGGTGTGAGAGGTCAGAAACTCAGCCTGAAGCAATCCAGAAGAGAGCCTGAAGTAGAAAGGTTGATTGAAAATAAAGACATATGCGATTATCATAATTCTATGGAAAAACTTTGACAATCATATGAAGTTTCATGATCATACAAGGGGTTTCTCTGGTTTTCTTGTTTCTTTATTTAAATATTTATTTATTTATTTTCAGAGAGAGAGCGCGTGAGCACGAGTTGGGGGAGGGGCAGAGAGAGTGTCAGAGAGAGATCCTTGCCCCTCTTTTGGTTTTCTTAACATCCCTTGGCAACAACTCTAAAGTACAAAGATCCTTCAAAGTCTTAAACAAATAGCTTTACTATATATGTGGGATATTACTGACTGATCATAAACTTTTTAGGGATGCCTGGGTGGCTTAGTCGGTTAAGCATCTGACTCTTGATTTCAGTTCAGGTCATGATCTCACAGTTGGTGGGTTCAAGCCCCACATTGGCTCTGTGTTGACAGCTTGGAACCTGCTTGGGATTCTCTCTTTTGCTCTCTCTCTCTGCCCCTCCCCCACTCTCTCCCTCAAAATAAATAAATAGACTTAAAAAAATCATCAACTTTTTACACCACTGTACCAAAATTTAATAGAATTTATTAGGAATTTTAGAAAAACAAAGCTTCACAACTACAGCTAATACATAATTTTAATAACAAAATATCCTGTTGTATTTTTAAATATAATGAATTTATTTTCAGAAGCATGCCCATTAAAAACAATGAAGCATTTCCATTCACTAAAAATGTATCAATAAAATACATAATAAACTTGTAGCATAAATGTAAACTAGTCAATTTATCTCCATTACCCATGTTATGATTTACCTTTATTTTATGGTTATAGTATTTTAAATTATTAACAAATGCAGAAATCTAGGATATATTTACAGGAGATTATCAAAAATAATGATTCCATTTAATAGTTACTGTTATTCTTCATCAGTATTTTCTCTGCACTCTGGATCCAACATCAGGAGATAGACTGGTCCTTGGCTGGCTGTTCTGTAACATAATTTCAGAACACTATTTTACTGTAGTATTCACAGGCAGATTCACAGGTGGATCTCCTTACAGATTACGGATGTTAATAACACTAAATTCATAATTCAAATTCTCAAGTGCTGCATATACATCAACCTCAACATAATGAGTACCACTTCACATAAAGCATCACACCAATGATAATAATTCATAATCTTCACCCTTTGCTATTGGAAAAGGTGATTAGCAGGTGCCTTTTAACCTAATCTGGTGTGTAAATAGTCACAATTTAGCAATTTTATTTTCTAAGGGAAGCTCCAGCAACTCATATAACACCCTAGGTGTAGTTTAACAACATATATTGGGTTAAAGAAGTTGCTTGAGAGGGCATTAGGTAAAAATTCATTAAATTCATAAAATTTATTTAAAAAAAAGTAAATATTCCAAAATAAAAATTCTGCTTCTAAGAATCATAGTTTTTACACTGAAAAGCCATGGCTGGTGTCTTCAGGACGCCCTGGGACAAGCCTCTGAGAGGACAGTGTTTGCATGTCGTCTCTATTAGAACGCAAGAGACTTGAAGGCAGGAAAGTGTTTTCCTCTTTCTAGTCCCGGCCCTCACACACAGGCACTGTGTGTCTGACACAGTGAAAACCCAGGCAATATCTGTTCAATGAAGAAAAAGAGGGCACCCAGGGGGCTCAGTTGGTTAAGCGCCGACTTCAGCTCAGGTCATGATCTCACGGTTCGTGAGTCCCATCTCTGTATCGGGCTCTGTGCTGATGGCTCAGAGCCTGGAGATTGCTTCAGATTCTGTGTCTCCCTCTCTCTCTGCCCCTCCCCTGCTCGTGCTCTCTCTGTCTCAAAAATAAACATTAAAAAAAAATTAAAAAAAGAAAAGGAAAGAAAAAAAGGAGACCAGTATGATAACTTCTATGAAAAGAAAAAAATCAGGCTGCTATAGCTGCCAAAAAGAGGAAGTTCTAAACTTTGACAGGATAAAACTTGGGCTGAATAAGCCTTCTTAGAGGGAAAGGCAGTGAAATGAAGCCTGAAAGAATGAGTAGGAGAGAAGTATGTAAGAGGACAAGTCCTGTGAGGCAGGGGATGAGGGGAAGGCAGTGTGGGCCCTGGAAGGACAGGGAGCTCCAGGGAGACCTACCTGTCGCTCAAATGTATATAACTTACAAGCTGGGGAGCAACCAGAGGTGCAGATGGGAAGGTCGTGAATGCAGTTCTCTGGAGTTTTAATTCATCTTTTAGGTGACAGGTAAGTGCTGACACAGGAGAGTGATATGTTCATATTCTTGGTTTACAAAGATTACTCTGGGCTGATGGTGTGAAAGATACCCTGGACAGATCACATCTCTTCAGGTGAGACATGACACATTCTTCTTCTTCTTTTTTTTAAAATGTTTTTTATTTATAGAATAAATTTAATGTTTACTTGATGTTTTTATTTATAGAGACCAATTTTTAATTAATTTTTTTAAATTTACATCCAAGTTAGCTGGCATATAGTGCAACAATATTTCAGAAGTCGATTCCTGAATGCCCCTTACCCATTTAGCCCATCCCCCCTCCCACAATCCCTCCAGTAACCCTGTTTGCTCTCCATATTTACAAGTCTCTTATGTTTTGCCTCCCTTCCTGTTTTTATATGATTGCTTCCCTTCCCTTATGTTCATCTGTTTTGTATCTTAAAGTCCTCATATGAATTGAGTCATATGATACTTGTCTTTCTTTGACTAATTTTGCTTAGCATAATACCCTCTAGTTCCACCCACGTAGTTGCAAATGGCAAGATTTCATTCTTTTTGATTGCCAAGTAATACTCCATTGTATATATATATATATCACATCTTCTTTATCCGTTCACCCATCGATGGACATCTGGGCTCTTTCCATACTTTGGTTATTGTTGATAGTGCTGCTATTAACGTTGGGGTGTGTGTCTCCTTGAAACAGCACACCTGTATCCCTTGGATAAATACCTAGTAGTGCAATTTCTGGGTCATAGGGTAGTTCTATTTTTAATTTTTTGAGGAACCTCCATACTGTTTTCCAGAGTGGCTGTACCAGTTTGCATTCCCACCAGGAGTGCAAAGGAGATCCTCTTTGTCTACATCCTTGCCAACATCTGTTGTTGCCTGAGTTGTTAATGTTAACCATTCTGATAGGTGTGAGGTAGTATCTCATTGTGGTTTTAATTTGTATTTCCCTGATGATGAGTGAAGTTGAACATTTTTTCATGTGTCGGTTGGCCATCTGGATGTCTTCTTTGGAGAAGTGTCTATTCATGTCTTTTGTCCATTTGTTCACTGGATTATTTGTTTTTTGGGTGTTAAGTTTGATCAGTTTTATAGATTTTGGATACTAACCCTTTATATGATATGTCGTTTGCACATATCTTCTCCTATTTCATTGGTTGCCTTTTAGTTTTGCTGATTGTTTCCTTCACTGTGCAAAAGGTTTTTATCTTGATGAGGTCCCAATAGTTCATTTTTGCTTTTGTTTCCCTTGTCTCTGGAGATGTGTTAGGAAGTTGCTCTAGCCAAGGTCAAAGAGGTTTTTGCCTCCTTTCTTCTCTAGAATTTTGATGGCTTTCTGTGTTATGTTTAGGTCTTTCATCCATTTTGAGTTTCTTTTTGTGTATGGTGTAAGAAAGTGGTCCAGGTTCATTCTGAACTTCACCGTCCTGTTTTCTCGACACTATTTGCTCAAGAGATTGTCTATTTTTCATTGGATATTCTTCCCTGCTTTGTCAAAGATTAGTTGGCCATATGTTTGTGGGTCCATTTCTGGGTTCTCTATTCTGTTCCATTTATCTGAGTGTCTGTTTTTGTGCCAATATTATACTGTCTGGATGATTACAGCTTCGTAATACATCTTGAAGTCCAGGATTGTGATGCCTCCAGCTTTGGTTTTCCTTTTCAAAATTGCTTTGGCTATTCGGGGTCTTTTCTGTACAAATTTTTTCCATACAAATTTTAGGACTGATTGTTCTAGCTCCGTGAAGAATGCTGGTATTATTTTGATACAGATTGCATTGAATACGTAGATTGCTTTGGGTAGTATCGACATTTTAACAATATTTGTTCTTCCAACCCAGAAGCATGGAATATTTTTCAATTTTTTGTCTTTTTCAATTTCTTTCATAAGCTTTATACAGTTTTCAGTGTGTAGATGTTCACCTCTTTGGTTAGGTTTATTCCTAGGTATTTTATGGTTCTTGCTGCAATTCTAAATGGCATTAATTCCTTGATTTCTCTTTCCGTTGCTTCATTATTGGTGTATAGGAATGCAATTTATTTCTGTGTATTGATTTTATATCCTGTGAGGTTGCTGAATTCATGGATCAGTTGTAGCAGTTTTTTTGTGGAATCTTTTGGGTTTTCCATATAGACTATCATGTCATCTGTGAAGAGTGAAAGTTTGACCTCCTCCTGGCTGATCTGGATGCCTTTTATTCCTTTGTGTTGTCTGATTGCTGAGGCTAGGACTTCCAATACTATGTTGAATAACAGTGGCGAGAGAGGACATCCCTGTCTTGTTCCTGACCTTAGGGGGAAAGCTCTCGGTTTTTCCCTATTGAAGATGATATTAGTGATGTGTCTTTAATATATGACTTTTATGATCTTGAGGTATGATCTTTCTATCCCTACTTTCTTGAGGGCTTTTATCAAGAAAGGATGTTGTATTTTGTCAAATGCTTTCTCTGCATCTATTTAGAGAATCTTGTGGTTCTTATCCTTTCTTTTATTGATGTATCACAGTGATTGTTTTGCGGATATTGAACCAGCCCTGCATCTCAGGTGTAAATCCCACTTGATTGTGGTGAATAATTCTTTTAATGTATTGTTGAATCTGGTCAGCTAGTATCTTGTTGAGGATTTTTGCATCCATGTTCATCAGGGAAATTCGTCTATAGTTCTCTTTTTTATTGGGGTCTTTGTCCTATTTTGGAATCAGGGTAATGAAATGCTGGCCTTGAAGAAGGAATTTGGAAGTTTTCCTTCCATTTCTATTTTTTGGAGCAGCTTCAAGAGAATAGGTGTTAACTCTTTCTTAAATGTTTGGTAGAGTTCCCCTAGAATGGCATCCAGCCCTGGACTCTTGTTTTTTGGGAGATTTTGATTACTAATTCGATTCCTCTACTGGCTATGGGCCTGTTCAAATTTTCTATTTATTCTTGTTTCAATTTTGGTAGTTTACATGTTTCTAGGAGTCTGTCCATTTCTTCCAGATTGCCCATTTTATTAGTGTATAATTGCTAATAATATTCTCTTATTGTTTTTATTTCTACTGTGTTGGTTGTGATCTCCCCTCTTTCATTTGTGATTTTATTTATTTGGGTCCTTTCCTTTATCTTTTTGATCAAAATGGTTAGGTGTTTATCAATTTTGTCAATTCTTTCAAAGAACCAGCTCCTAGTTTCACTGATCTTTCCTACTGATTTTTTTTTTTTTTTTTTTTTTTTTGGTTTCGATAGCATTGATTTCTGCTCTAATCTTCACTATTTCCTGTCTTCTGTTGGTTTTGGGTTTTATTTGCTGTTCTTCTTCCAGCTCTTTAAGGTGTAAGGTTAGGTTGTGTATCTGGGACCTTTCCTCCTTCTTTAGGAAAGACTGGATTGCTATACACTTCCCTCTTATGACTGCCTTTGCTGCGTCCCAGAGGTTTTGGTGTTGTCATTTTCATTGGCTTCCATGTACTTTTTGATTTCCTCTTTAACTTCTTGGTTAGCCCATTCATTCCTTAGTAGGATGTTCTTTAGTCTCCAAGTATTTGTTATCTTTCCAAATTTTTTCTTGTGGTTGATTTTGAGTTTCATAGCATTGTGGTCTGAAAATATGCATGGTATGATCCATCTTTTTGTACTTGTTGAGGGCTGATTTGTGTCCCAGTGTCCAGATATTCTAGATATCTTCCTTGTGCACTGGAGAAGAATGTGTACTCTGCTGCTTTAGGATGAAATGTTCTGTATATATTTGTTAAATCCATCTGGTCCAGTGTATCATTCAAAGCAATTGTTTCCTTGTTGATTTTCTATTTAGATAACCTGTCCATTGCTCTAAGTGGGGTGTTGAAGTACCCTACTATTATGGTATTATTATCAATGAGTTTCTTTATGTTTGTGATTGATTTATATATTTGGGTGTCCCACGTTTGGAGCATAAATGTTTACAAGTGTTAGATCTTTTTGGTGGATAGACTCCTTAGTTATGATATAAAGCCCTTCTTCATCTCTTGTTACAGTCTTTATTTTAAAATATAGATTGTCTGATATAAGTATGGCTACTCCAGCTTTCTTTGGCGACCATTACCATAATAGATGGTTCTCCACCCCTTTACTTTCAATCTGAAGGTGTCTTTAGGTCTAAAATAGGTCTCTTATAAATAGCATATAGACGGATCTTGTTTTCTTATCCATTCTGTTACTCTATGTCTTTTGATTGGAGCATTCAGTCCATTGACATTTAGAGTGAGTACTGAAAGGTATGAATTTATTGCCATTATGTTACTTGTAGAGTTGGAGTTTATGGTGGTGCTCTCTGGTCCTTTCAGTATTTGTTGCTTTGGGTTTTGTTTTGTTTTGTTTTGTTTTCTGTCTTTTCTCCCTTCAGAGAGTCCCCCTTAAAATTTCTTGCAGGGCTGGTTTAGTGGTCATGAACGTGCTCTAATTTTTGTTTGCCTGGGAAACTTTGTATCTCTCCTTGTATTTTGAATGAAAGCCTTGCTGGATAAAAATTTCTTGGCTGCATATTTTTCCTATTCAGCACATTGAATATATCCTGCCACTCCTTTCTGGCCTGCCAAGTTTCTGTGGATAGGTGTGCTGCAAACCTGATATGTCTTCCCTTGTAGGTTAAGGACTTTTTCCCCCTTGCCGCTTTCATGATTGTTTCCTTGCCTGAGTATTTTGTGAATATGATTATGATATGCCTTGTTGATGACTGGTTTTTGTTGAATCTAATGGGAATTCTCTGTGCTTCCTGGATTTTGATGTCTGTGTCTTTCCCTAGGTTAAGAAACTTTTTCGCTATGGTTTGCTCCCATAAACCTTCTACCCCTTTTTCTCTCTTTTTATCTTCTGGGACCCCTATGGTTCTGATGATATTCCTTTTCTTTTTTTTTTTTTTTAAATTTTTTTTTCAACGTTTTTATTTATTTTTGGGACAGAGAGAGACAGAGCATGAACAGGGGAGGGGCAGAGACAGAGGGAGACACAGAATCGGAAACAGGCTCCAGGCTCCGAGCCATCAGCCCAGAGCCTGACGCGGGGCTCGAACTCACGGACCGCGAGATCGTGACCTGGCTGAAGCCGGACGCTTAACCGACTGCGCCACCCAGGCGCCCCAATGATATTCCTTTTCAATCAGTCACTGAGTTCTCTGATTCTTATATCATGCTCTTTTTTTTTGCTTTGGTCTCCCTCTTTTTTTTCTGCTTTGTTATTCTCCATAAGTCTGTCCTCTATATCGCTGATTTGCTGCTCTGCTTCATCCATCCTTGCCGCCTGAAACATGATAAATTCTTAAACAAAGGCACTAACAGTAGGAATGAAGATAGTGGATGGATTTGAGGTGTATTATCAGGAGGACATATTGCCTGTGGGCATGGGAGAAGGAGAAGCCTGGATGAGATACACATTTCTGTCTGGGAAGTCTGGAGGATGGTGTCATCAACTGAAGTAAGAATTAAAAGAGGTAGAAGAGTTTTGGGGGGAAACTTGGGAAACTGAACCTTGGCTCTGCCACTGAATATTTGTGAGACTTGAGAAAATTCCTTGATGTCCTTCGCTTAGAATATTAAACAAGATAACGTGTGTGAAATAATTTGGGACAGTACTCTTCAGTGGTAGGAATCCCTAAGTGTGCTTCCATTCTTGTTTCTAAATATATCTCAACAAAATTTGGGTGCCATTAAAGAGTATTAATTGACATTTAGCATTCACCAAGGGGCTTTGCAAGAAAACAGTGGTATTTTATGGGGCATAAAATCTTGCTTCAGAATATTAAAAACGTTTCCAGTTCAAATACATCACCTCATTTTATTGTAGCCTGAAAAAGGTACATCATATATTTAAAAACCAGGTGTAAAAAAATCATGAAGTCTCAACCAATATTTTCAAGTATGTAGTATGTGCTAGTTTCTACGAAGTAGACAGGTAAATGGAAAAACAGCCTCAAGAATATAGTTCCAAAGAAGATCACTCATGTAAAAAGACAACCCACAAAAATACCTATGGAGTAGAAGTATAAAACCAGTGGTACTACAGTAATTAAGTTCAGAGAGAATGTGGTCATCATAAGCTGGATTGGTCATGGAGAGATTCACGGGGGAAGTGACATTAAGTTGGTGCTTAGATAGGTTGGATTAGGAAGGTAGTGCAAAAGTACAGCTGGTGCAGTTTGGAGCGGGGGTGAACATGAACAAACAATGAGAAAAACATGACAGCATACAGAGTACTGCAGACTTGAAGGACAACGCATTAAATTTGTTTGGCTGGAAGGAAGATTCATAGTGTAAAAAGAGAGGTAGGTGGGACTATGAATTGTTACAAATTGTTAGGATTCCTATTATTTACAAGGAAGTTATGCTTTGCATGTGCATTTCACTTAAGTAGTTTCAGGAATGTTACCTTTTTCTGAAACAATGCAACCTTTTTTTTGAGACGATGTAAATGGATAAGATGATCACAATAGTGGCACTAATGATAATGCAACCCAATGGTGTCTAGCATGTGTTGTGTTATAGGCACTGTTCTAAATACTTTACACTGGTTCTTCTCTCTAGAAGCCCTCACAGGTACACTAGAGGATAGATGCCAGTACCATTAAGATGATTATGACTAATCAGTGAAGGGATACAGGAAGGGATGGGCCAAATTTTGTTCCTCTGAAATCTTACAACAGCACTTGCTCTGAGCGGTGGAAGCTGATTGCCTGCCACCTGAGAGATCCTGCTCAAAAGTATTTCTTTTGCTCATGTTACAAGTGTCTAAAATCCCACTTTTAGAAATTTACTATACTTCTTCCCAGAAATTGTTTTTAAATGATTTAAATGGTTTTAAGTCTTTTAAAGTAATTTTTAGAAGTGAGGGGCCCCTGGGTGGCTCAATCAGTTAAGCCTCTGACTTTGGCTCAGGTCATGATCTCATGGTTCATGAGTTTGAGCCCCACATTGGGCTCTGTGCTGATAGCTCAGAGCCTGGAGCCTGCTTTGGATTCTGTGTCTCCCTCTCTCTGCCCTTACCCTGCTTGTGCTCTCTCTCTCCTTCTCAAAGAACAAACATTAAAATTTTTCAAAAAATAATTTTTAAAAATGAAAAATTCTTTTAAAATTCAAGCCAAGTATCTCAACAGGAGTGAATATGCCAGTCCATTTCTTTTCCTAAGAGGAAAAACTCAAAGCAACACCACCAAACACTGTGGGAGAAGGAAACACAAGGAGTGACAGAATGGGGGGAAACACAAAAAACAGTAATAAAACACACATGTGGGGGGTGCAGCATGGTGGATTAATATATAAACTTCACTCTCGTGAATTTTCCAGAGAGATATATAATTTTTGAGAATTATAGAAATTATAGAAGAAAATAGATCAGGAGTCAAAGTGACAGTTGCCAAAAGACTCCTGTACAATAGTCACTGCATCAACAATGCCACACCAAAAAGGCCGTTTCTGAGAACCATTTGCAGAGACCGAAATAAGCTTCATGAAGGCAGGGGCAGCCTCTTTCTTCTTCTTTACTACCACACTCAGGACACAGCAAAAATCTAAAATGTGGGCAGGAAATGTGTAACTTTGTTTATGTAAGAGCAAATAATAAGAAATGAAGTATACTTGTGTCGTCGTACTTTTTCTTGTCAAGATTACAGAACTGAGGGTATGTGATGAAAAACAATTGAGCAAGCATCCAATGAATTCTCTAAGAAAACTTTTTTTTTTTAGAAAAAATTTTAATGTTTATTTATTTTTGAGAGAGAAAGAGACAGAGTGTGAATGGTGGAGGGGTAGACAGAAGGGAGACACAGAATCTGAAGCAGGCTCCAGGCTCTGAGTTGTCAGCAGAGGGCTCGATGCGGGACTCGAACCCATGAACTGGGAGATCATGACCTGAACCAAAGTTGGGCGCTTAACAGACCGAGCCGCCCAGGCGCCCCTCTAACAATGCATTTCTTTGTCGAACACCTAAGTTGAGGATACTAAGAGTCCAGGTGCCTCACATAGTCTTAATTCATATTATGGTAATTTGTATACACTATCCATGTGTGTTCTTTCTCCCTGTTAGACTGAAAATTCCTTAATGCACTAAATTGCCACTTATATGTGTATCTTTACCAGAATCCAGTGTCAAGGCAAAAAACAAAAACAAAATTCCAAATAATGATGTCTAGTTTTGAACTTTGAAAACACAAAAGGGAGATGGGCAAGGGTGGGATCATTACCATGGTAAAATAACCAACAATTTTCCGGTTAGGCTACATACCCATATACCACATATCAGTAGTGCAGTGATATCAGTTTCTGTTCCCATGGATGATGAAATACTCTGGATGGAAAAAACTTTATATTTTGATTTTTTTTAGTTTTAAAAAAATGTTTATTTATTTTTGAGAGAGACAGAGAAGGAGAGTAAGTGCAAGTAGGAGAAGGCAGAGAGAGGGAGACACAGAATCCAAAGCAGGCTCCAGAGCTCTACGTGGGGCTAGAACTCTTGAAATCATGACCTGAGCTGAAGTCGGATGCCTAAGTGATTGAGCCACTCAGGCATCCTATATATTTTGATTGTTTTAAATGAAAGGATATTTGCTGATTCTAACAAAACGTCTCATCATTGAAAGTTGACTGGGAGAAAAACTCCCTAAAAGCCATTATCAAGAAAAATTAATTTCAATACAGGATTCTTACACACAAAATCGTGACATTTCCTAAAATGAGAGAAATAAAAGCTTCTTAAAGTACTTACCAGAAATGGTATTATTTGTAAGGTATTTTTGATGGATGGATTTTTGCAAATGGTTTCTTGTACATCTGAAATAATTATACCATGACACAAAAATAATTCAGTTACGTATGCTGACAGAGAAGAATCAAATGTTAAGTTCTAGTGTCAAATACTCAACATGGGGAACAGACTTTCTTCTTTGGTCACCAGAAACAGTCTTTAGCCTTGCATTAGGTTAGGAAATAGAAGTAATTTGATGATAAACAATTACATAAAATTAATGTTGATAAAAAGAAATTCCTAATACTTTGACTATTCTATAACAATCTTCCTTCAAATGCTGGGTTTTCTTGTCTTTTTTTTCTTCCTTTTTAAAAAATACAGTACTTTTATTACTTTTTAAAGTTTATTTATTTATTTTGAGGGAGCGCGAGAGAGCAATCAAGAGAGAGTGAGCCAGGGCATGAACGAGGGAGGGGGAGAGAGAGAGAGAGAGAGAGAGAGAATGAGAGAGAAAATCCCAAGCAGGCTCAGTGCTGTCAGTGCAGAGCTTGATGTGGGGCTGGAACCCATGAACCATGAGATCATGGCCTAAGCCGAAGTCGGACACTCAACTGACTGAGCCACCCAGGTGCCCCTCTTCTTTTGTAAAACAAAAGGTAAATTTGATTCTTTGAGTATCTCAGGAAAGAAGAGATGTTTATTTAGCTATTAAGGCATAAAAGTTGAATAATTCGTCAACTCTTGCCTTTTCAGTGCTTAAGCTTTGGTCCATATAAAAGCAAGGGTCTGGGCAAAAGAAAAAAAAAAAAACACCTTCAAGCAGAATCCTTTATGTGAAGCATTTAAGCATGTCGAAGTATCTAATAGGAAAAAACCCTCTAAAAAACCCTCTAAAAAAACTGACCTGAGTTTTTTACTCTTGATCTTCATAATTGGACATCTTACAGCCTTAGTTATATATTGCTTCTGGGGTTGTAGCTCCCTGCTTTTTATTAATATATTATTATTAAAGTTTATTTATTTTTGAGAGAGAGAGAGGGAGAACTTGTGCATGAGCAGGGGAGATGCAGAGAGAAAGAGGGAGAGAGAGAATCCCAAGCAGGCTCCACACTGTCAGCGTGGAGCCCAATGTGGGGCTCAATCCCATGAACCTCGAGATCATGACCTGAGCCAAAACCAAGAGTTGCCCACCAGGCACTCTTATTAATATTTTATTCTTAAATTTTAATTTTTATTTTATTTTTTTTTAATTTTTTTTTTCAATGTTTATTTATTTTTGGGACAGAGAGAGACAGAGCATGAACGGGCGAGGGGCAGAGAGAGAGGGAGACACAGAATCGGAAACAGGCTCCAGGCTCTGAGCCATCAGCCCAGAGCCCAACGCGGGGCTCGAACTCACGGACTGCGAGATCGTGACCTGGCTGAAGTCGGACGCTTAACCGACTGCGCCACCCAGGCGCCCCTTAAATTTTAATTTTTAAATTAACACAAAAAACATATAGAGCATATATACATATTGCAATTAATTATAATGAAGCTAATGTCTATGTAATGACTTAGACTGAGAAATGTGCACATTATCACTATTTTAGGAACTTCCCGGAGCTCCCATCTCCATGCCTCTCTGGGGATTGCACTTCCTTTCCTTGCCCACAGAGGTGACCGATTACATGGGCTTTGTGTCTGCATAATTATAGCACATGAGTATACATGCATATCATATTGCTTGTTTTACCTGTTTCTGAACTTCAAATAAGTAAAACTGACCTGATTTTTGTTCTGAATTTTTATTATTTTTTAAATTTAAATTTTGATTCATTTACAGTGCAATGTAGTTTCCTGGGGTAGAATTCAATGATTCCTCACTTAAATATAGCACCCAGGGCTCATCACAAGTGCCCTCCTTAATACTCATCACCCATCTAGCCCATCCCCCACCCACCTCCCCTCCATCAGCCCTCAGTTTGTTCTCCATATTTAAGGGTCTCTGGTGATTTGTTTCCCTCTCTTCTCTCCCCTCCACCTTCCCATATGTTCATGTTTTGTTTCTTAAATTCCACGTACGACTGAAATCATATGCTTTTTATCTTTCTCTGATTGACTTATTTCACTTAGCATAATGCATTCTAGTTCCATCCACATCATTGCAAATGGCAAGAGTTAATTCTCTTTGATTCCATTGAATATATACACCCATCTTCTTTATTCATTCATCAGTTGATGGACAGTTGGGCTCTCTCCATAGTTTGGTTATTATAGATAATGCTGCTATAAACATCAGGGTGCATGTACACCTTCAAATCTATATTTTTGTATCCTTTGGGTGAATACCTAATAGTGCAATTGCTGGATTGTAGGGTAGTTTTATTTTTAGTTTCTTGAGGAATCGTCATACTGTTTTTCACAGTGGCACACCAGTTTGCATTCCCACCAGTGGTGCAAGAGTGTTTCCCTTTCTCCGCATCCTTGCCAACATGTGTTGTTTCTTGTGTTGGTAATTTAGGCATTCTGACCGGTGTGAGATGGTATCTCATTGTGGTTTTGATTTGTATTTCCTTGATGATGAGTGATGTTGAATATTATTTCATGTCTGTTAGCCATCTGGATGTCCCCTTTGAAAAATGTCTATTCATGTCTTCTGCCCATTTCTTAACTAGGTTGTTAGTTTTTTGGGTGTTGAGTTTGAGAAATTCTTCATAGATTTTGGATACTAACACTTTATCAGATACCTCATTTGCAAGTATCTTCTCTCATCCTGTAGGGTGCCTTTTGGTTTTGCTAATTGTTTCCTTCGCTGTGTGGAAGTTTTTATCTTGATGAAGTCCCAATAGTTCATGTTTGCTTTTGTTTCCCCTGACTTCAGCAATGTTGTCTAGTGTCTAATGGTGCCCCAGCTGAGGTCAAAGCAACACAGGTTGCTGCCTGTGTCCTTCTCTAGGATTTTGATGGTTTCCTGCCTTACATTTAGGGCTTTCATCCATTTTGAATTTATTTTTGTATATGATGTAAGAAAGTGGTCCAGTTCATTCTGCATGTTGCTGTCTAGTTTTCCCAACACTATTTGCTGAAAATATTGTCTATTTTTCACTGGATATTCTTTCCTGCTTTGTCAAAGATGAACTGACCATATAGTTGTGGGTCCATTTCTGGGTTTTCTCTTCTGTTCCACTGATTTATGTGTCTGTTTATATGCCAGTACCATACTGTCTTGATGACTACAGCTTTGTAATACAGCTTGAAATCAGGAATCGTGATGCCTCCAGCTTTTCTTTTTCAGGATTGCTTTGGCTATCCAGGATCTTTTGTGGTTCCATACGAGTTTTAGGATTGTGAGTTCTAGCTCTGCAAAAAATACTGGTGGTATTTTAATGGGAACTGCATTAAATACACAGATTGCTTTGGGTAGTATAGACATTTTAACAATGCTTGTTCTTCCAATCCATGCGCATGAAATGCGTTTCCATTTCTTTGTGTCCACTTCAATTTCTTTCATACGCTTCCTATAGTTTTCAGAGTATAGATCTTTTACTTCTGTTTTTATTTAATGTTTTATTTTTATTAAAAATTTTTTTTAATGTCTATTTATTTTTGAGACACAAAGACATAGCATGAGCGGGGGAGGGGCAGAGAGAGAGGGAGACACAGAATTCGAAGCAGGCTCCAGGCGCTGAGCTGTCAGCACAGAGACCGATGCGGGGCTTGAACCCCTGAACAGTGAGATCGTGACCTTAGCCGAAGATGGATGCTTAACTGACTGAACCACGGACACTTAACCGACTGAGCCACCCAGGTGCCTCTATATCTTCTACTGCTTTAGGTAGGTTTATTTGTAGGTATCTTATTGTTTTTGGTGCAATTGCAAATGGGATCAATTCCTTGATTACTTTTTCTGCTGCTTCATTATTGGTGAGAAATGCAAGAGATTTCTGCACACTGATTTTATATCCTGTGACTTTGCTGATCTTATATGTTAATTCTAGCACCTTTTTGGTGGAGTCTCTTGGGTTTTCCACACAGAGTATCATGTCATCTGCAAATAGTGAGTTTGACTTTTTCCATGCTGATTAGCATGCTTTTTCTTTTTGTTGTCAGATTGCTGAGGCTAAGACTTCCAGTACTATGTTAAATAGTAATGGTGAGAGTGGACATCCTTGTCTTGTTCCTGACCATAGGGGAAAGGCTCTCAGTTTTATCCCATTAAGGAGATTAGCTATGGGTCTTTTGTATATGGTTTTTATGATCTTGAGGTCCACCTATCCCTCCTTTTTGAGGATTTTTATCAGGAATGGATGCTGTATTTTGTCAAATGCTCTTTCTGCAACTATTGATGGGATCATATGGTTCTTATCCTTTCTTTTATTATAGTCATGTATCACATTGATTGATTTGCAAATATTGAACCAGTGCTGTAGCCAAGGAATAAATTCCACTTGCTCATGGTGAATAATTCTTTTAATGTACTGACTTTGGTTTGCTAATATACTGTTGAGAACTTTTGCATTCATGTTTATCAGGGATACTGGCCTGTAATTCTTTTTAGTGAGGTCCTTGGTTTTGGAATCCCCAAGGCAATGCTGACTTCATAGAATGAGTTTCAAAGTTTTCCTTTTCAATTTCTTTGCTGGCTATGGGTCTGTTCAAATTTTGTATTTCTTCCTGTTTCAGTTTTGATAGTTTGTGAGTTTCTAGGAATTTGTCCATTTCTTCCTGACTGCTCAGTTGGTTGGCATATAAATTTTCGTAGTATTCTCTTATGATTGTATTTCTGTGGTGTTGGTGGTCATCTCTCCTCTTTCATTTGTGATTTTATCTATTTGGATCCTTTCTCTTTTCTTTTTGATAAGTCTGGCTAGTGGTTTACCAATTTTGTTAATTCTTTCAAAGAACCAGCTCTTAGTTTCATTGATCTGTTCTACTGTTTTTTGTTTGTTTGTGTGTCATTTATTTCTGCTCTAATCTTTATTAGTTCCCTTTTTCTGCTGGCTTTTGGCTTTATTTGCCATTCCTTTTCTATCTCCTTTAGGTGTAAGTTTAGGTTGTGTATTTTGGACCTTTCTAGCTTCTTCAGATAGGCCTGGATTGC